TCAAATAAATAAATAAAAATGTTAAATTGGATTGACAAAGTAAAATTAATACATAAGCATACAAGTGCGGAAGGAAAATAAATTAAAAATAAACATTTAGAGAAATTAGTTTTAATCAAATTAATAACAAAAACAGAGATGACTAAATACTACTTTGTGTTGACTTCAAAATATAAATGATAGAATTAATAATTTAATTTTGTTAATTAAAATGAAAAATATGTTTTCTCTATTATTACTAAAATTAGAAAATAAAAAAACAATTAAATGTAAGAATTAGAAATAACATAACACAAGTCGAACAAGATTTCTTGTTCATAATATATTAATTTATATACATATATATAAATTTACTTACTTACATATATATATATAATTTATTTTTTAACTTTTTATTTTATTTATTATTTTAATAAACTATTTTAAATTTAATTATATATTTTACAGTTTCCTATGAAGTGAACAAATCACAATGAACTAAATATATTTTAATTAAAGTTATATTTTAAAATCTTGTAATGAATTTTTTTTAGAGATATTAAGTTAAATACTCTAAATTATATTTTAATATAATAAAAGAGTAATATTATAATACTCATATCTTTAAGGGATAAAAGTATAAATTCTATATATTACTATATAAAGGGGAGATAGTCTAATACTTGTATGTCTCAAAGAAGGGATATGTGATTTATGTAAACGACGTCAAATTAGATGAAATAAATTATATATTTTAACATATAAGGAAAAAGTTAAGTAATAATCTCATCTTAAGGAGGTAATGTAATTTATATAAAATTTAATTTTTATCATAACTTTAAATTATTGTTATCTTCTACACCTAAATCAACTTGTAAGATCACAAAATATTAATTTATTCACATACATCATTTGTTAACATGTGTCAACCCTTAAAAAGTTAACAATAAACAAGATCCTATATTAAAAATTGAAAGAAAATTTTAAAGCACATTAGTAAAAAGTCAATATTGCATTGAAAGTCTTTGTCATTACATTTTTATTGAAAAAATTGCATTTATTTTTATTTTCTAGGATATTAATGTTTTTTTTTATTAATATTATTCAATTATTTGTAAAGGAATCATAATGATTTTTTTCTTGGATATTAATGTTTTTTAAATATCATTTGAAGCATATAAGAAGAAAATATAATTTTGATGATTAATAATCAATATTATCAAAGCTACATATTTTTGTAACAAAATTTGATAAAGTAAATAAAAATTCATAATTTAATTGAATATAAGATAAAATAAAAAGATTAATTTAAATGTATAATTATTTTTACTTTTATATATATATATTTGTAAACCAAATTTTGAAGCAATGTTACTCCCTTCGTTTTTTTTTCATAGTTGTTTTGTCAGTATTTGTTATTTTTTTTCATTGTCACTTTTTTAAAACTAATGACTTATTATTTTTTTTTCATTTTTACCCTTGATAATTAATGTATGTTTACTGAACAATGTGTCTATTCATTTTTCAATGTACCTATTTCTTCTCCAACCACCTAAAGGGTATAACAGAAAAATAGGTAATAAATATTTTAAAAAACTAAAATATCAATCATTGTCTCAATTCTTGTGCATAACCTTAAAGACAATGAAAAAAATCGGAGGGAGTAATATTTAGTATCTTGATCTTCATTATTTTTAATGAAAACATTGAGACCTTTTTCTATTCAAGCACATTCTCAAATTTATTTTCTATTTTTTTCATAACACATGTATGAATCTTCTTACTCCGTACAAAGTTTGTAACATCTTGTTTCTCGAAAATGAAAATAAAATAAAGTTATTAAATAATATTTATAATAAGACTTAATTAATTTATTCAATTGATCTTATAATATAAATAAGAATTTAATAAATAAAATATAGTTTAAGAGGTGGGTTAAATAAAAATATTTGAGTTTGAACTCTTAAGCCAACTCAGAGTCTTGTAAAAAAATAAGTAAAGGAGAAAATAGGTCATATATATAATGTGTCAATTTTTTGAAACTCTAAGAGTATTTTCTAAGAAGAACTTAGACTATCAGAGAGAGATTTGTCACTTGAGGTAAGAGGGAGAATGAAATTGTCTTATAGTGTGGGCACATATGAGGGATATGGGTAGTAAAGTGACCTTAATCCTCCATATGAATTATTTTGGTATGTGTTTGATATGAATATCATTAAGAAATTATTATTATGTTTGGTTGTGGATGGTGATGAAATTGTTGCTCTTGATGATTGAATGGTGATATGTTATGTATGGTGAATAAATTGGGGGTTAGGGTTGTATGTATGATTTGAGAGTTTTGTGTGATTTTATTAATTTTGAAAATTTTAGTATAAAAAAAATATTTCGATATTTAGGTGATTTCTCTAAGTGTGATTAACAAATAGAGTTTTGTTTGTTGGGTTGGAAAGTATACTTTTTGGGGATACAATTTAAACTTAAGAATCACATAAAAAAATATTTAAGAAACAACTGCGTGAATCATAAGATGAGCCTCAAGTTTTGCACATGAAAATTAACGTTTGTAACTTGTAAGTCTTATGAAGACCCTTAAATGATTGAATTATGATTTGTGATCTTCATAATAGATGTAGACTTGGATGTTAGCTTTCTAATGACGTTGGAATCACTAAAAAAAATAGGTCTAAAACTTAGGTTTTAATCAAATTTCTTAGTGGAGGTTAAATTATCTGAATTAGACTAAAATACTACAGTTTTGTATTTTTAAAAAATAGTAAATAGTAAAATAAACTCTTGAAGTTGACATAAAAGTTGCATATGATTTACCTTAACTTTCTAATAAAATTAAGATCAACTTGATATCATATGTATAACCCTATATAGCATTTAGACCACACGATGTTATAGAAACACATAATAATACAAAATATAATTAGCAAATTGTCGTGATGAGTTGTTTTATTCTTTAAGTGCCTACATATGATATAAGAAAAAAAACTTATTTATTATATTTTGGGGTAGAAGGGTGTCATAAAGTTAACAATAAATAAAACCCTATGTTAAAAAAGGCTCAAGGACCTAATTAAAATTTCAAAGACCTATTGATGTATTGCTTTTATATATATATAGTTTTGTGTTTTGAAATATGATATTATTTTTATTTATTTATTATTATTACTATTATTATTATTATCATTATTATTGTTATTTTATTGAGACCAATTCAATTATATTTTAGTAACCATTGAACCTTGAACAAATATCTTAAATTGGACAATGATTAATCCAATTTTAGAAGTATTTATTTTACTTGTAAATTAAATATATATATATAGAACTTTTATTTCCTTATAATCAAATTCCTTATTGGCTTATTCTATTTTCCTTTTTCTCCCAACTTACTTTTCAAAATCATAATTCTTTTATTTTGTTGACTTTTTATTTTTTTTATTCATTAAGGATAAAAACTGAAAAAAGGTATAATAATTATATTAATTACATTTAATAATATTAACAATAATTAATTTTATTATTATAAAGAAAATATGTGAAACTTAACTTCAAATGATTTTTGGAAAAGTCAACTCCCTTGATCATCGAAGGCAATAGTAGCAATATATCTTCTGTATTAATTCACTTTTATCCTTAATTCTAGAAAAATTTAGTGAAAATGATGCTTTCAATAGAAAATACTTTGAAATGTTCAAACAATTTATTAGATTTATCATAAGTAAACAAAAGAAAAGTGAGCTTTCTTCATATCAATCAATTTGTTCTCAAACAAGAAAAACGGAAAGAGATTACCCAATCACTTCCTTCATCATATTTATTTTAATTTGTGTCTCTAAGTAACACTCTTTGAATTAATCAATTGCATTTCACTATTCTTCCCAATAGTAAAAACGAAATTATTTATACTTATACTTATATTTATTTATCAATTTCTTCTAGATAAACTTTATATATATATATATATATAGACAACAATTATTTTTCATTATTGATAATCTTGTTCAAGCTAACGAAATTGTTTCTATAATCTTAGAAGAAGAAAAATATATAAGTAACTATTATTTAGTTTTATAGAATTATAATTGATATCAAAATAATAAAATATGTGGTCTCACAATGAATTGTGAGTATACAGTTGTTTTAAATATTTGAAATTAAGAAAAACATTGTCATTTATAATAATTTTATTTGATATGAGTAGAATTGTATTTAGTAAAAAATACATGTGTTTTATAAAACAAAAAACTATTAAATTATATATTTTCTTTTCTATCAATAGTTAAAATTTTCATTATTTCTTTCAAAACAGAACCCCAAAACTTTAAATGAGCTAATTTTTCTCTTAAAAAAAAATAATAACTTTTCATATATGTTAGTTGTGCATATAACATAAAAATATTAGGAATACATCTACATATAGAAATTATGAATTTAGACATAGAAAAATTTGGTATGTCAATTAACCTTTGCTTCGATAATACTAATGTAGAAACCTGATAAGGTATTAATTATTTGCTTTTTTTCAAAAAATAAATTAATGAACATATTTAGATATATAAGTGAAATTATTGCAATATTTTCATTAAATGTTTTTTTTAGTAATGATAAATGCTTTGCAAAAAAGCAAGCAAAGAAAAATTGTTTTGTATACTTTTATAATAAATTTAACCATAAAAAATATTGGGGAAAAATAATTTAGTATTAGGATATACTACATTAATCACCAAAACATTAATATATTGTTAGTTTGAGTAATACTGAACTTGAATTTATTATAAGTAATGTCTCAAATTTAGAATCTTATGATTAGATAAAAAAAAATATATTAAAAAAAAGAAGATTTTACTAAAAATTACCAATCAAGTTTCTTAATAAAAATTAATCGTTAGTAAAACAAGTAGATACATCATATAATGATGACCAAAAAATATTAATGACAAAATCCTATAAAACTACTCTTAAGTAAACCAAATTCTGTGTGTCTTGTTACTATACACTTATACACTTGGACCCTGCTACTACATCTTCTATAAATTCACTTGTTGAAACCTGAATATATTTGAGTGTATGATTCAAGAACTGTTCAACTGCAAAATCTGAGCTATTAGTCTTTAGGTAGAAAAGCTAGTTTTGTTTCAAAGGCTATGGAGCATGGAGATTCATTGTTTCACCAACCCGCGAAATCACGTTCTGGTAAGCACTTGACAAAAGAAAAAAGAAAACTTTTTTATACACATTCATAGAGATGGTCTTTTGTATAGATATATCGATATTTGGTTTATGATTGTAATGGTTTTAGTAAACAAATAAATTATTGTTCGAATGAAACTGATATCAATCTTCTAAATTAAAGTCTCTATTAAAGATAAGGTCTCCATTAAAGATTATTTATTAATTAAATTAGCAAATATTTTGTGCCGGTTATTAAAAGAATATTGGTTTATCTTTTTTAGTCAGAATTTATATATTTATTTTTAAAAAAATTTGTTTTGAGTTTGCTTTCTACTAAAGATATGCATCATTTTGAGTAGAAATAGGCACATATTGATTTGGATTGGATTTGTATTATTTTTTGTGTGTGATCTAATTAAATTTAATTGGATTAATTTGGATTGGGTTTCTCTCTCTCTTTCTGCAATCTAAACAAATCCAAGTCGACTATGATCAAATTGGTTTGAATCGAATTACTGAATTCATCATTTAAAAAATAAAGATAAAAAATCAAAAGTTGGAAAAATTAAATTAAGGTTGTATTCTTTGTCATTTAACATGAGTAGTTGTAGCATGTCTGTATTTAAACTTTAATCCTAACAAAGGGAGAGAGGAATAGAAGTATAGAATTGTAATGTGTGGATTGTAGAGTGTCAATTGAAGTGTTATAATATTAAAATGTGTGAAAAGTTTGGGTGGGCTTTTATCCCAAATTCTAAAATTCTTTTTATTGATAAATTCTAAATCTTTGTAAAAATCTAAAATAATAATAATAATATATAATAATTGATCGATTGGATCATATTAGATTAGATTTTCAACATCAAAATTAGTAATCCAATTCTAACTTATTTGATTTGTAATTTTTTAAATCCAATTAGAACCAATAATCCAAACTAAACCAAATTTTTCGGTTTAAATTAATTTAGTTTCATTGATTTTTTGAATTTATCCAGATCCATAATCATCCCTAATTTTGAGCTTTACATACATGGGAGTATACAAAATGATAATTTTTTTTATTGTTAAAAAATGAGAACTATAAATATGTATGTATATTGGAATTAAGAGATAGGATTTTTATTATGATAGAATGTGGTAGGAGTAAATATTACCCTTAGAATAAAATTATAAAAAGTTAAGATAAATCACAATTCAAATGGCTTAAGTGATCATGTAACTATTAAATAAATTTTAATCCTAAGCATTCATGTATACTTATAAGATAAAGATTATTTCTATCTTCTTATACAAATACTGAACTAAAAAAATTTAGTTTTATATATTCAGTCAAGTTATTAATGTTTTTTTGTTAAAAGTTATTTTTTTCCTTAAAATTTATTTTAAAGTAAAACATTAAAATAATAACATGAAAAATTAAATAGAAATTGTTTGTCGGCTTTAACTTCATAACTTCATATATATATATATATATATATATATAAGTTATGTCTCATTATTTAATATTGATTAATTCATGAAGAGAAGAAGAAGAAAATATAATTTTTACGTTACTCTTAACAACTATATAAGTTAATTGTTTTTTCTTAAATACTACTTTTTCCTTTTTATATAAAAATATTTTTTAAAAGTTTTTTTTTCAAACCTTTTTAACCAAGTTTTAAGAAGTAGAAAAGCTAATATTTAGCAAAACACACCTTCAATTTTTTTGTTGTTGATAATTTTCATTTTTTTAATTGTAAATAAGTGATGTGAAAAGTAGTTCCGAAGAGAGCAAAGGAGAGGGAAAGTAAGATAAAGAGAGAAAAGGGGAAGAAAGATGAGAAAAACTCAACTTTTTAAAGTTATTTTCCCTTCTTTTATTTTTATTTTTTGCAAAAATAATGTGCTTAATTTCTTACAAGATTCTAAGTTAAAACCATTACTTCCCTAGGCACTTTGATACAAAAGTGTTATGCTTGCATATATTATAAGGTTTTAACATATTGAATAACGAAATAATTTCTTTGAGTGTTTCAGGTTCGACACTCCCCTCACAACAAACAAACACCTATGCAAACATAGAAATTCCCCCACCAAACAACAATGGCCTAATTCTCAATTTTGATGTGCAAGATAATAGCAAGATGCCAATTACAAATGTGACAAAAATCACAAGACGAATTCTTCCAAACAATGCAAAACTTTCAGACAGTGCCAAGGAAATGATTCAACAAAGTGCTACAAAGTACATAACCTTTGTAACTAGAAAAGCCAAGGAGCGATGTCAAAGTGAGTATAGAAAGATTATGAATGTTGAGGATGTGTTATGGGCCATGGAGAAGTTGGGATTTCATGACTATGTTAGGCCTCTCAATATTTTCCTCCAACGTTATCGTGACATTGATGGAGCTGACTATTTTGCTCACACAGTGGACCCTACTCCTTGCACCGACAATAATAATGGACCTAGTTTTGGGGTTGAGCCCAACCTTGTGCCCACCATGGAGATGCTTCATGCCCCTTTACCACCACCAGTTCCTTCTTCTGGATCAAACTTTTCCATGGACCCAAACACAAATATGGAAATATTTGACCCAAATGATGTGAACGAACTCTACTTAGAAGGACTTGGTGTTGATTGCTCGGATGGTGCTTTCACAAACTTTAGCCCCTCTGCTCTCTTCAAATATGATCAAGTGTGAGATGGTAATGGGAGAAATTGAGGCGCGATTAATAATTATGGTAATGAACTATGATACAAGGAATAAGAAGTAAAAGCATAATTATTGTTAATTAAGAACTATAATTTGTTTATGTTTGTCTTAACTTTATTATATATGCTTAAAACTATAGAGAAAAGGGAGAGTTTATGGAATTTTATTTTGCTTTTTGTTGTCTATGAACCATTTTGGAATGGGGTTCACAAAATTGATTTGTTTGAATTTTAAAATGCCAAAAGTAATAGCGTAATTGTCATTTTCATTGTTCAATGATAAAATTATCAATGTTTATTGTGACAAAACTATATTGTCAAGGCTTGTTTATTCGATTGAAGTATTATACAAATTGTGATTCTACCTTGTTAGTAGTGAAACTGAACATAAAGGATAAAACTATTAAGGTTATCTTAAACATGGAAACAACTATAAGTCAAACTTTATTTGCTTACTTGAGTGGTGTTAAGGATGTATTCATATTGGTTTGATGTAGTTAGGTGAGAAATTCCTATAGATGCTTTTACAAAGTTCAAACCGGGGTGTCAATTCTATTTGTGTTGCAGTTTAATTAGATTTTTGCACAAAAAAAATTCAAGAAATCAAAGATAAAATATATACTATGATTTGAACGCAATATGAAACTGTACCTGTCTGAAGGGCACACTAGTAATTTTATAGTAATCTGAAGGCTGAACGAGAACTTCAAGCAAATATTCCGGCGAGAGGGAGGGTACCTCGAGATGTGAACTATTTATAGTGACATTAATGGGCCCTACCCTCCATGGGCCCTGTACTGGGGTTATTTGATTAGGTAATACATCCTTAATTGGCTTATTCGCATGATTAACCCTTACTCATTATTTAGGGATGATTACTGGTTCCATGAATTACTTCACTCAAGGGCTTTCGACCATCGGGGATGCCGATCGGGTATCGGCCACCTGGTACGATGAGTTTTGCCAACCTGACTCAGTCTACTCGGCCTCTAAATAGGTCAATCTGTCGTAGGTGACCGATATGCCTTCACAGAGACGACTCGAGCGTGTCCAGCTCGGCTACGTGTGTCGAAGGGTATGGCGGAATGGCCCTACCCATACATGCTTAATGATGGATACTATTTGGTTGTCAAATGTTTATGCAAAAGCTTGGAATAGTGGCCAGGTTTGGAAAGAATGAATAAGTTGATGAAAGATAAAGGGGTGAAGAAAACATCTGAATGCAGTTCTATCATAGATGGAGTGGTTCGTGAGTTTGTAGTAGGAGATGAGACTCATCATGAAGCTCGAAGATACTTGGGGTATGGGAAAAATTGCTTGCGAAGATGAAGGCAAAATGGTATATAACATCCTGTTTTTTGGAAGAAAAAAAATATAATAAGTTATTTATTAAAAGATGGACTGGGTTTGTGGATTAGACTTTGGATTTGGACTCTAGAGTCCAAACCTAGAGTCTTATAAAAGAGACTAAGAAGAAATAGGTCATATGCATCAATTTTCTGAAAACCTAAGAATACATGTAGAAGAAACTCTAGAGAAGAATCTTGAGGGAGTCGTAGAATAGCTTTGGACTGTATAAATCATACATGTTATCTTGGAGATCATCGTTTGAGGTAAGAGGAGGAGTGGAATGTTTCACATTGTGGGCGGGGTATAGGTAGTGAGGTGATTCCTAAGTCACTTTATGATTTATAATTGAATGCATTGATGCATTGAGTGATGATATGCGATAGATATCATGGTATGAGAGGAAGTCGTATGGAGGAAGGTTTACCGAGTTTTGTCATATAACTTGTATTGAGGATTTCCAAGATGTGTCCACAAAACTTGTGAAGGAGGAATTTACCAAATTTAGTCAAAAAACTTGTAAAGGATGGTTTTTCAAGTTTCGCTAGAAAATTTGCGAGGAAGAGTTTCTAGGTTTCACTTATAAAACTTGTGAGGTTGGAGTTTTTAAGTTTCGCTCATAAAACTTGTAATGAGAGGTTTTTAAGTTTCATTCACATAACTCAATGGGACGATTTTCAGATACATATGCATTTTTTAGAATATTCTTATGGATGTAGACATTAGGGGTTGAACCACATTATATTAATTTTGTGTGATTTTCTATCTATTTATAATGTTTTTTTAATGTCTTTCTTGTAACAACCTATTTTATTTTTTATTAAATAAATAAATATTTGATATTAATTAAGCTATAACATAGAAAAATATTTTATTTATAAATAAAACAAGGGAAGAGGTAAATTAGATAGTATTGGGCTGGACTCTAGGCTCAATTTGAATGTTGATTAAAAAGAAGTAAAATATAGGAGATTGTATTTAATATTAAACCTTCTGAAAACCTAGAGCACTCATAGAAAGGAACATAGAGGAAACCATTGAGAAATGTGCAAAATAACGGCCAGAACTATGGGAAGCGCATTGAACCATGAGATCATCACTCCAGGTATAGGGGAAGTGATATTGTCTAATCCATGTGCAATATGAGGGATAATTGTAGAGAGACGATCCTTAAGCCTCTTAGATTAATGAATTTAATTTGTGTTAAGATATATAAGTGAATTGATGATTGACTCTTATTTTTACTTAATGAATCCATGTGCTGATTCAAGTTGTATTGATTGATTGGTATTGAATTAAAGTGGCGATGGATAAGAGTAATATGTGCATAAATTAGAGCTTTTGATTTGGTTGGATGTTTTGCAAGATTTGATGATGATGAATGAATATATGAGTGACAAACAAGTATTTGACTAATTGAATTGAGAATTAAAGTAAAAGGGTGTGTGTAGATATATTGGGGGAGACAACTAATGCAAATCACAGGTTTGCAAAGTGTGGATTTTGTGATTGTGCTAGGCGTGAGAATGATCACATCGGACATAGGGTTGCCAGAGAGGTCCCAAATCTCTTAGCATTAGGTGTAAGGTGTTTCGTCTGATGCCATTTGATGTCAATTTCTAAGAGAGTGGAATGCCAAGCATGGCCTAAACCACGCCGAGTTAGAGGGTTTCAAAGGGGTCCTTGACTCCTTGATGTTGGGCGTGCAGATAGCCACACCAGGTGATATTAAGACAGAGAGGTCCAACACCTCTTCATATTGGACGTGAGTTTGGCAGAGAAGTCCTTAACATCACTCTTTGCACTAGGCGAGACTCTGATCTTGCCAATTTTCACATGCCATTTTTCCAAATAATGTTATTTTTTTATGAATTTATGGATAATTAAAGAGCCGAGAAGGGGAATTAAGGCCAAGAACTAAGAGAATAATAGTAATGAGTAGTAATGTGTAAGGAATTGGCTAAAAGGATGTATTTTGGTGTGTAAACATTGATGATGTGCATATGTAGTTACCTTGAGATGAGATGTATTACTATGACTATTATAATGAGATATGGTGAATAAGTCTAGTGTTGCAAATTGACAAATGAGAAGTGAATTATTGCATATTGTATTGATGTGATATGATAGGTCATCTACCTATACCTTGGAATGTTACAGTGAGAAACCTCAACTAGGGCTAATGTAACCCTTCGATAAGACCCTACAGGTAGACATCCCTTGGTTAAGGGTGGCTCGAGGAATTATTATAGATGAATGGTCTCTACACTATAAATGGATGGTTTCGTTCCATAGCTCCTAGGCTATTTTGTGTTGATAATGATGAAGAGATTGATACCATATGCATGTAGAGTTAGAAGCACGTATATGCACGAGTCTTTATAATTATATAACTTTGAGTGAATGAAATATTCACTTTGTTAGTTGTTGATTGATGAATGAATGTGTTGATAGTACAATAATAAGAAGATCATTGTCTTAGATGTGTAGTTGAAAATTTAATGTATAATTGAGAATTTAGTTATGTTGTGCTCATGTGTGCTATCCTTAAACTTCATATATGTTGTGTATGGATGAGATGTATTCTCACTCCTTATGTTTGTGTGTGTTTGTTGAGATGTAAACAAAGTCTCATATCATTCAAACAAGAGGATGGACATGTGTTTATATACACACAATTGTCTCCATTGGTTAGAGGCTTTTTGGGTGATGTTCAAAAGCAAAACTGTGAAGATTTAAGCCCAAAATAGACAATATCTTACCAATGTAGAGACATGTGTTTGTGTGAACCTTGGGTGCCCAATAGTGGTATCCTTTTAGTAACATTGGAAGTTAGGAGCCTTTTAGGTGAGCCCTTTTTGGTGATGTCCAAAAAGAAAAATCATGAGAGCTTTAGCCCCAAACAGACAATATTTTACCAATGTGGAGACATGCATATGAATATCCCCAGATACACAACAAGTGGTATCAGAATTGTTAGTTCAATCAAGTGACTGACTTGGCGAGTATAATGGAGTTGGCAGGTGGATTTAGGTTTAAGATCCCATATATCAAAAGTTAGGTGGATCTAGGTTTAAGATCCTATATATCAAAAGTCTTCCTAATCATGAGTTTATGTGTGGAAGAAAGTCTTCTTGATAGCATGGAGGTTAGGTGTAAGTATTTAGAGTGCGACTAAGCTCTATGGGCCATCATCGGATAATAGTCATGGATTAGCTCCCACTTCAAGGAGGGCAAACCATAAATTTTTTGTTCGAGAGGAGGATTGTTGGGATATAAGCAAAGCCCCACATCTTTCAAGCAAGAGGATGAATATGAGTTTATATATACACAATTGTCTTCATTGATTAGAAGTCTTTTGAGTAATATCTAAAAGCAAAACTGTGATAGCTTAGACCCAAAACAAACAATATATTATCAATGGGAAGACTAATGATATATATATATACACACACAAACACAAACTCTTTATTTATATTTCTTTTTTACCCAACGTATTTTTCAAATCCATTTTTCTTTTATTTTATTATTCATTAAGGGACAACACTAAAAAATAATAATTATATTAATTACATTTAATAATATTATAAATAATTAATTTTATTGTTATAAGGCAATTGATATTTTAATCTCAAATGCCTTTTTGAAAAATTTAACTCCCTTAACCTTTACCAATTATAGAAAAATATATTCTAAATTAATTAATTTTTACCCTTAACTAATAAAAATGATGCTTTCACTAGAAATTACTTTGAAATATATACACAGTATATTAGATTTCTCAAAAGGAAACAACAACAATAAAATGAGGTTCCTTTCCCATTCAATTTGTTCTCAAACAAGAAAAAGAGATTGTACAGCTACAAAAATCAAAATACAATCAAGTTAATGTGTGTCTCTAAGTAGCATTTGAGTGCATTTCACCATTTTCCGAATAGGAAAAATAAAATCATTTATGTTTTCACTTTAAACCAAAAATATCTTTTATTAGAGAGAATTTTACTTAAGTTTATGAAGTTATTTATATATGAAGTTAATTAGATGAAAAAATTTAATTTTTTTAGTGCTATAAATAACTGAAATTATAATAATAAAATACATGTAATTTTGAGATTGAATGTTGGGTATACAATTATATTAAGTATTTAGAGGAAAGATTTTGTCATTCATAGTAATCCTATTTGACATGAGTATGATTGTCTCTAATGAAGGATTTATGTTGTCTATATAAAAAATAAAAATAAAAATAAATAAAAATAAAAAACCATTAAACTACTCTCTTTTTTTTTCTATGGATAGTTAATTTTTCTCACTATTTCTTTCAAAAATAAACCCCGCACTTTAAATAAGTCAATTTCTTTCTTAAAAAGAAAACTAATAATAAAAACTATTCATGTTCAATCTGTGTTTATAAAAACTTTAGGATCAACATATAGAAATGTACGAATTTAGACATAAGAAAATTTTGGTATATATGTCAATTAACCTTTCTTTCCATAATACTACAGCAAATAAGGTATAATTATTTATTTTCCTAAAAAATAAATTAATGAAAGTTTTAGATTTATAAGTGAAATTAATACAATATTTACAATAAATATTATTGCCTTCGATACTTTTTATTATAAGAAAAGAGTTATAATACATTACTATAACTTGTTTGTTTTAATAAGAACCAGAAGAGGTATATAATAATGATAAAAAATTTAAAAAAAATCATGCCAAATAAATGTTTTATATAGTCTTGTATATTTTAATATTAAATTTAACAAAAAAAATTTGGAGGAAAAAGTAAATTTAATATTAGATGTATTACATTAATCCAAAACACCAACATATCACTAATCTAAGTAAAATTGGATTTAAGATCTTAAGTTCAAATCTTATAATTTAAAAAGAAAATATTATTATTATGTGAAATCTTATTAAAAATAATCAATCAATTTTTATAATAAAAATTAGTTATTATCAAAATTAGTAAACATTTCATACCAATAATATGATAATTAAGAAAAAATATTAATGACTAAAACCTACAAAGTAACTCTTAAGTGAACCAAATTTTGTGTATTTAGATACATTGCCCATGAACCTTACCCCTCTTCTCGTGCTATAAATTTAGTTGATGTACTTAATATATTAAAGTTTCATATTCAAGAATTGATCGAAGTCAAAATCTGATTTATTAATATATATAGTTTTTAAGGTAGAAAAGTTAGTTGTGTTTTCAAAGGCTATGGAGCATGGAAATTCTTTCATTCAGCAACATGCGAAATCAAGTTCTGCTGGTAAGCACTCAACAGAATAAAAAAGAAAAAGAAAACTTACATATATGCATGCATAGAGATTGGCTTTCTTTTGTATGGATATATCTTTACAGACTCATATATACTCGACTAATGGTTGTATATTGGTTTGTCATTTTTGAGCCAAAGTTCATAGATTTATTTTTGAAGATTTTGTGTTTTGAGTTTGCATTCTACTGTTGATATCGGAGATTTAAAAATCGGTTCAAATTGATCGGTCAAACTTAGAACTTATATACAAGAAGTGAATTGTTGTTTAAAACGTTTGAATTTTCAACTACTGTTGCACCCGATTTTTTGCGTTCTCTAATGTCTATTGTAGCTCCACGCTGTCCAACAATCTTGCACGTTTTCCCTAGCTCCATGTTGTCCAAAAATCTTGCACATTGTACAATGATATACCTGTGTATTCTAAAATTTCAATTCAATAAAGTTGTTTTCTAAATTTTTAGAGAAATAAAAGAAATTTGAGTGAGATGAGAATCAAATACAAGTAAGTTTGGATATTTAAAACCACCCTCACCACTAAACTAACGTATTTTATCTAAGTATGTTTTACTTAAATAATTTTTTGTAGTACATCTTTAATTTAAAATTATACATTTAAATAAATATTAATTTATGCAATTCAATCAATAACTTATTGGTTCCATCAGTGACTTACTGATCTAATGTATTGACCGAGTCGATTATTGGTCTATATTTTATAACAGTAGTTGATATACCTTATTTTCATATTTATATATAAGAGTGTATAAAATGATACTTTTTCTTGTTAAAAAATGAGAACTAGAAATATGTGTGTATATAGGACATATTGTTAGAACTTAAACTCATGACAAAAATCCAAACCAAAAGATTAGTCCATTAGGTGAAATAATTTTGATAGCTTATGTATTATGATGAACTTCTTATTCTACTTAATGGGGGATTCTTAGCATTATCTCCTCCTTTGTAGCATTGTTTTCTCCTTTAAGAGTCAATTTTCACAACGAATTTTACTCTATTAATATTGAGCTAATAGTAGCTTTTTTCTGTTCTATGACTTCACTCACCAATCAATATTTGGTTAGCACATTAATTCGGCTTATAGATAAACTTTTTCGTAGCCCAATTCTACGAAAGCATCAATTTTTATTACATAAGCACATGAGGAGAGTCTAACCCAAAAGACTAGTCCATTAGGTGAGAGAGTGTTACATCTTAATTGGACACATATATTGTAATTAATTAGATGGATCCAAAAGCTATACATATGTGAGATTGTGTGGTTGTGGATGACTTAAAGGAATAAATTAGTACTACATATACCAACAAGATGCATCTATTTTTTGACAGCTCACCATTTAAGAATTTCATAGTTAAGCCTAAACTTAGAACAATTTAGGGATGGATAACCTTTTGGGATGTTTTTCAAAAATGTACAAGTAAGGATAAAATATGCTAAAAAGTCGTGTTGGTTTGTGGGTACAATCATTGATTTTAAATGCGGTCAAACATCTTAAAAAGAGTTATTCATAGAGGATTTTAACTGATGAATGGTTCTAACAAACAATAAGTCAATTACCATCGAGTGAAGTGTCATAGAGTGTAGCTGTCAAGACGTTAAATATAAGAGGTGTTATAGAGAACTTGATGACTTAAGTATCCCATTGAGCTTCTTATTTTACTTAATATGAGACTCCTAACATTTCCACCTTTTTAAGATTTGACATTTGCAACAACTTTCACTATATTAGAAAGTGGTAGCCCTTTTCTTTTTTTACATATTCACTCACCTATTAGTATTAGGCCTACATCTTAATCTGGCCTTTAAAATGTTAGGAGTCATGCATTAGGTAGAATAAGAAGCTTAATATGATACTTAAGTCTTAAAGTCCTCCCATCAAATAGACCAGTCTTTCGAGTTGGCTTTCCCTTTGTGCTTAATTCCTAAGCAATTGGTGATTTCATTAAAAGTTAGGTACAAATAAGGCTACCTATAGGTTGGATTAATGTGCAAATCATATATTGATAGATAAGTGAAGTCATATAAGTAAAGGGATACTAGTTGATAGAGTGAAAGTCGTTATGGACGTCAATCCTAAAAAGAGGTGACAATGTTAGGAATCTTACATTTAGTAAAAATAAAAAGCTAAATGTGGTACTTAATCCTTGAGATTTTTCCATCTAATGTATTAGTCTTTTGGGTTGACTCAATCTCTTCTTGTGCTTAAATCCTAAATAATGTTTTCATTTAGAATTGGGCTACAAAAAGGGGTTACATATTGAGTCAATATCGATGGAGTGAAAGTCGTTGTGGACAACAACCTTAAAGGGGTAGTAATGTTAATTAGGAGTCTCACATTGAGTAGAATATGAAATTTAATGCATTATTTAAACTTTGAAGCTCTTCCATCTAATGGACTAGTTTTCTGAATTGGTATATCCTCATATGCTTAAGTCCAAACAATAATCTTAACACATATCAAAAGAGAGAGGGTGATTGGAATGAATATTACTCGTATAGGATAAAATCATGAAAGATTAACATTAATTACAAAATCAGGTAACTTATTTAAATGATTGTGTAATTATTAAAAAATTAATTTTAATCATTTATGTATACTTATATAATCATATATGATCAAATTCATTTCCTCATTTCCTCTCTTCTTATATAAACACAAATCTCCCATACTTTAGTTTTATATATTCGACCAAATTAATTTTTTCTTAAAATTTATTTTGAAGTTAAAGCCCAAAATAATAGCATAAAAATAAAGTATAAATTATTTGACATCTTTAACTTAACAACTACGTTTAAATTAAAAGTTTGGTTTCATTATTTTACATAAATTAATTCATGACAAGAAAGAGAAGAAAATTAGGATATACATATTTTATCTTTAAAAACTACGCAAATTAATGGTTTTTTCTTAAATTTTACTTTTTCCTATTTCTTTTATTAAAATATACCTTTTTTCCAAACATTTTTAACCAAGTTTTAAGTAGTAGAAAAACTAAAATAAAAGGGTGAGCCAAACACTACCTTAAAAATATTTGATAATTTTAATTTCTTTTAATTTGAATTAAATGGCATGATAAATAGTGAAGAGGAGAGAAAATGGGCGACAGATCAAGGGAGATCCATTAGGAAGCAATTAAAGAGATAGAGATGGGGGAGAGAGGAGAAAAAAAAAACTCATTTTTTAAAATTTCTTTTATTAAAAATAATGAGCTTAATTTCTTATAAGTTTTTCAAGAAAATGTGTTCGGTCTAATTTGTCATTTAAAAAATAAAAAAATCATATATTAGTGGTGTATTCGGTATACAAACTATTATTTTTGTGTATCAATGCCTGAAATGTAAAATAAGAATGAACCTAATAAATAAGCCTTAAAAAATTATATATCAGTGACACAAATCAGGAAGTACAATTATTTTTTCATTACATTTATATTATTTTATTTTGAATAAAAAAGATTTAAATGGTCATGATCTTGTATTTGAACTTCAAATGACCACTCTCCTAATTCAACAAAAGTCATTGTCTTTATGTGCTCATCTTGTGTCATAATTGTTAGTTGTAATATTTTCCTATTATATGAGTTATTGTTCTTGTGTATACAAGTTTTTGAAGTATTGAATAATGAAACCACTTCTTTGATTTGTTGAGGTTCAATACTCCCCTTGCAACAAACAAACACCTATGCAAGTACAGAAATTCCACCACCAAGCAACTCAAGCGATAGTGACTTGGTTTTCAATTTGGATGAAGATAAAGGCAAGATGCCAATTACAAATGTGACAAAAATCACAAGAAAAATTCTCCCAAACAATGCAAAAATTTCAGACAGTGCCAAGGAGATGATTCAACAAAGTGCCACAAAGTTCATAACCTTTGTAACTAGAAAAGCCAAGGAGCGATGCCAAAGCGAATATAGAAAGATTATGAATGTGGAGGATATGTTATGGGCCATACAGAAGCTTGGCTTTGATGACTATGTTGGACCTCTCACTGTTTTCCTCCAACGCTATCGTGACATTGAAAGAGGTGACTCCTCCACTTATCACCCTCCTTTACCACCACCAGTTCATTCTTCTGGACCAAACTTTTCCATGGATCCAAACACAAATACTGAAATGTGTCACCCAAAATGGTGAATGAGTTCTTCCTAGGTGGATTTGGTGTTGCTCATTCAAATGGTGCTTTCACTAGCTTTGATTCCTCCACTCTATTCAAATATGATCAACAGTGAAATGATAATGGTGCAATTTATAATTATGGCAATGAACTATGATGCAGGCAATTAGTAGTAGAATAATTTTTTTTGCCTTACCTTTATTAGCAATGCTTCAAAATATAGAGAAAATTGAGAGAACTTATGGTACTTTTATTTTGCCTTTTGTTGTATGTAAACCATTTTTGTTTTATGGGGTTCACAAGAATTAATTGTTTAAATTTTTTGAACAATGAATATAATAGCTTAATTGTCATTCTCATTGTTCATTGATAAAATTACCAATGTTTTTTTTTTGTGTTAGAAAACAATATTGTCAAGGCTTGTTCATTGAATTAAAGTATTTGATATGATTTTTGTCAAATTGTGATTTCCTAATTTTACTTTACCTTTCTAGTAGTAAAATTGAAAATAAAGGATAAAACAATTAAAGTTATCTTAAACATGGAAACAACTAGGATGAGGTATTATTTTGTTTACTTAAGTGGTGTTAAGGATGTACTCATATTTATCCAATATAGTTAGGTGAACAACTCTTGTATAAGTATTTAAAAAGTTCAAATTTGAGTAATAGTCGTGTTTGTGTTACGCCTAATTAGATTTTTTGCACAAAAATCATTTCAATGATAAAAAAATAAAATAATATATAGTTTTATTTGAATATGTACTTATTCGAGGGTACACCGATAAATCGTGTTAGATCTTGTTGCACATATATATATGTATGATATTTCAAAAGAAAGAAATTTCACATTGCTTGAATCACTTAAGTGTAGAGTCTTTATATATCAAAGTGCTCCTTACACTTCCAAACGAGCAAGCAAAGGGTGGTGGACCTGCCCATGTAAAAATGGGCCTTGTGAGCCTATTGTAATTCAAATCTGTTGATTCTTATGTGAATCTTTCTAGGATCTTTTATTTTATTCTCTAAACGGTCATATTCGGATTAATTTTACCTCTTAATTGTCAGATGATTTACGTGGCCTTCGGCACATTGTTTAATCATCCTGAATAAACCTTTCTCTCTTCCTTCTCAAACTCAAATATCTAGGTGATCCAATAATAAATGAATAATAGTTTTATCTTTATTTATGTAATTATTTATACTTACCATAATAAGCATGGATCTGTTAGGCTTTAGTTTTTATTGGTCAACAACTTCGAGGGGTGAGATATCTACAAAAGATACTTTAACGCTCAAGTCAAGGTGAACTCAAATATTTAGGTAATCAAATAATAAATGAATAGTAATTTTACCTCTATTTGTGTAATTATTTATACTTACCATGATGGACTTGAGTCCGTTAAATTTTAGTTCTTGATTACCAATTAAATAATACGACTATGGATGACAGGTTAGTCTCTTAATCTTCAACCTAAAAATTCAAAGGCCTATGAAAAATCATCTACTTTATCTTATCTAGGCCTCGATTTGGTCAGTTTCGGATGGGTCAGAAATTTTTTATCAGTTCTACCAAATAGAAGGAGTTGTTACGTGTGTCATTCAAAAATAACTTGTTTTTATAAGATTTTGCATGATTGAGAGATTTGCTTGTTCTTTTTCTAACACAAAGCATATCTAAATCTCTTTTGTAATTAATGCGAATATCGAAGAAATTTTTTATTTCTTTCAATTTGTTAAAAAATAACATTGACAAATATAATTTAGTTATCAAATATCATAAATAATGTATATAAAATATTTTTGTCTTACAGACGAGTAATTCGTCTAAAAGACTTGAATGTAAACATAACTAAAAATCTATCACAGTTCATTTAAAATTACTAATTAAAATTAAAATGAATAGTTCGTCTGAAAAACTTTTCTCTTGAAAAATGTATAAATTTATTATCATTAAAACTTATATCTTAGATCGTCATTTATTTTTACATACATGATATTGAACTCTTTTGTTATAGCCATTAGATTAAAAACGATAGTTTAAATTACTCATTTAATTATAAACTATGCATTATTTTCCTTTTATTTAATTAAAGATGACTAATATTTATAACTAAATATACATGAAACAAGTATTTCAATTTAATGATTCTCGTAAAAAGTAAAAAGTGAATGTTTATTTACAATCACTAATTAAAATTAAAATGAATAGAAGTGATAATAACAAATTAATAATATAAAAATTTGAATTAAATATACCTCATTAATTTCGCAATTTTTAACATTTTTAAAAAATATCTTAAAATAAATAATATTCTTACTTTTTAATATAATATTAATTATTCAACCATTATTAATAAAAGTAATGCATTATTAAAAAACGAAATATTTTTATAAATTTATATAAAAAGTGATACACTTATTACTAATTTTAATATGAATGAAAAACCTTAAACATTAGATTATGAGATAGAGGAAGCACTAAAAATTATGGGCAAATAATATTAATATAATGAACATATTATTCTTAAATATAAATCATGCGTTGCAAATCAGTGGAGGTTCATATCATATTAAGCATGGCATGTAATTCTCAAAATCATTCACAGCATATATTAGACCTTTCTGCTATTTTATAAAAATGAAAAAATTAGAAAGAACATAGCAGGCCAAGTCCTGCACCTTTCAGATCATATTTCAATTATCTATTACTTTCCTTTAGTTATCATAATAACAAGTTATGTATATCTTACGAAGTACTTCTTTTTAGTCAAGTAGAAGGACTCAACGGTGGGAGATGGGTTGTAGAATTTTAGGGATATAAGGACTAAATTTCTGAACCTCTCATTTCATTGTCATATAGCTATTGAGAGTGATCTACCAAACATAAAACACAACTGACATTCATTACATAGCCATGTCCAAATGCAGTCCAAATGCAGTGGAGTTTATGTAATCACTACTGTAAATTGGAGCAAAGATAAAAGTCCTAACAATTATACTACCAAAAACTATAAAACATGCAAAAGGAAAGCACTTAAAGCATAGTCTAGTCGAAGTCCTAGGTGAAGGTTTTCAAATCACCTTCAACTACACGAAGCTAAACCAAAATGAAGAGGTTTAAGAATGGCCAATTACAAACCAAAATAAAGAAAGAAGGCCCAAATACAAGTGGCCCAAAAGAAATCAAGCAAAAATATGAAAAGACAAAATTTTAAGTCTTCAACTCCTCCACTTGGGTTCCTTCACAAAGAGCAAACTTTTTAGTCCAAACAAATATAGAACAAAAATCCATCATAAATGGAGAAGGATGAAGAAAAGGCAACAAGAGAGCTCCAACTATCACTTCAGTCTCTAAATCTTTTCTTAGGTCAGAATTTGTGAAGTGTATTATATGAGACAACATCTTGAAATTTATTTTATGATATAATGTTAAAATAAAAATATTAAGGCTAAAATAATAATTTGGTCCCTTATAATATTTTAAAGTTTTAATTTAGTCTCACTTTAATTTTTGGTTTCAATTTGGTCCCCAATAATTTAAATCACTGCAATGTTGGATCTTCCGTCCAAATTTCTTAAACGGAATTAACTATTGACCACGTGGATGCCACGTAGATGCATAGGTGGCAAGGTCCCATGTGCTCCTCCTCCTCCTTTTTTAATGTACCTGGAACGGCCTGTTCTAAAACCAGAACGGGCCATTCTGGTTCCAGAACACCAACCACAAACGGTCAATGATTATAGTTCACGCCCGTGATTCTAAATCACGGTTGTGATTCGTGCAAAGAAAAAAAACCCAAGATACAAAGCATTTCAAACACTGGATTTGGTAATATTGTCAATGGGGGATTGATAACTTCAATTGCTAAATATTTGGGCTATACACCATTTCTGGACCAATTGCAGGATATAAGAGCTCCTAGAAGTATTAATTATAATATTTGTTATGCAATGCAGTGTATCACTAAGGACAATGGTGACATGTTTTATTTCATTGTTAGCCAAACTGGATGTGAACCACTTACTACCAAATCAGCGGCATTATACAGTCAAGGATGAAATGACATGGTTTTCTTTCCCTCCTCAGTAATTTCTTGAACTTTCTTAGTGTATGTTATGTTATAAATTTTTGTTTTCAGTCTCTGAACCATATATTTCAGTCTTTGAATTTATGTTATGTTATGAATTTTTTTTTTCAATCTTTGAACCACATTGCTGCATTTTGTTGAACGTATGTATCTGTTTGGCATTCTGGAACGACCCGTTCTAGTTGCACTTGTTGTGTGTTAAATAATGCATCTGGAACGTCTCGTTCCAGATGAAAATTTAACACACGACGAGTGCAAGCAAAACTGGTCGTTCTAATTTCAGACGGGACGTTCCAGATGCATTAAAGAAGGAGGAGGACATGAGACCTTATCACCTATGCATCTACGTGGCATCCACGTGGCCAAAAGTTAACTCCGTTTAAGAAATTTGGATGGAAGGTCCGACATTGCAGTGATTTAAATTATTAGAGACTAAATTGAAACCAAAAATTAATGTGAGACTAAATTGAAACTTTAAAATATTATAAGAGACCAAATTAGTATTTTAACCAAATATTAATTATTTAATTAATTTTTAAAATTTGAATTTATTTTAATTATGGTTTTTTAAAAAGATTTTAAAATGAAACAACATCTTGTAAGTGTTATAACATATGAATTTCACTCTATATCATAATTGAAATTTTATCCCCCAACTATATACTCCTAATTTTATTTACCTTTTACTTTTCATCTCTTTTATTTTATGTTTTAATTTTAAAAAGATGTAGGCCTGATTAGAAAATTTTCTCCATAAATGCTTCTAAACGAAAAAATATGAATCCTCCTCCTCCTTTTTTAATGTACCTGGAACGGCCTGTTCTAAAACCAGAACGGGCCATTCTGGTTCCAGAACACCAACCACAAACGGTCAATGATTATAGTTCACGCCCGTGATTCTAAATCACGGTTGTGATTCGTGCAAAGAAAAAAAACCCAAGATACAAAGCATTTCAAACACTGGATTTGGTAATATTGTCAATGGGGGATTGATAACTTCAATTGCTAAATATTTGGGCTATACACCATTTCTGGACCAATTGCAGGATATAAGAGCTCCTAGAAG